GCAGGTTCCAGTAATCGTTAAAGTACAGGATCGGGAAGTAATCGCCGCTCAGAGCGTCGAATTTCACATCTGGGGGTGAGAAAAATGGGAAAAATGGGGTTGGAAATGGGAAAAATGGGGTTTGGGATGGGAAAAACCCATTGGGAATGGGATCGGGAATAATCGCCGCTCAGAGCGTCGAATTTCACATCTGGGGGTGAGAAAAATGGGGTTGGGAATGGGAAAAATGGGATTTGGGATGGGAAAAACCCATTGGGAATGGGAAAACCTATTGAGAATAGGGGAAAACCCATTGGGAATGGGGGAAAAGCCATTGGGAATGGGAAAAATGAGATTGAGAATGGGGGAAAGTCATTGGGAATGGGGGAAAAGCCATTGAGAATGGGAAAAATGGGATTTGGGATGAGAAAAAGCCATTGGGAATGGGAAAAACCTATTGAGAATGGGGGAAAACCCATTGGGAATGGGATCGGGAATAATCGCCGCTCAGCGCGTCCAATTTCACATCTGGGGGTGAAAAAAATGGGAAAAATGGGGTTGGAAATGGGAAAAATGGGATTGGGAATGGGGGAAAGTCACTGGGAATGGGAAAAACCCATTGGGAATGAGAAAAACCTACTGAGAATGGGGGAAAACCCATTGGGAATGGAAAAATGGGATTGGAAACAGAAAAAATGGGATTGGGATGGGAAAAACCCATTGGGAATGGGAAAAATGGCATTTGGGATGGCAAAAATGGGATTGGGAATAGGAAAAATGGGGTTGGGAATGGGAAAATCCCATTGGGAATGGGAAAAAATGGGATTTGGGATGAGAAAAATGGGATTGGGAACGGGAAAAATGGGATTGGGATGGGAAAATCCCATTGGGAATGGGAAAAATGGGATTTGGGATGGGGGAAAATCATTGGGAATGGGGGGAAAACCCATTGGGAATGGGGGAAAACCCATTGGGAATGGAAAAATGGGATTGGAAACGGGAAAAATGGGATTTGGGATGGGAAAAACCCATTGGGAATGGGAAAAATGGCATTTGGGATGGCAAAAATGGGATTGGGAATAGGAAAAATGGGGTTGGGATGGGAAAACCCATTGGGAATGGGAAAAATGAGATTTGGGATGGGGGAAAGTCAGTGGGAATGGGGGAAAACCCATTGGGAATGGGAAAAGTGGGATTTGGGATGGGGGAAAATGGGATTTGGAATGGGAAAAATGGGATTTGGGATGGGAAAAACCCATCAGGAATGGGAAAAACGGGATTTGGGATGGGAAAAATGGGATTTGGAACGGGAAAAATGGGATTTGGGATGGGAAAAATGGGATTTGGAACGGGAAAAATGGGGTTGGAATGGGAAAATCCCATTGGGAATGGGAAAAATGGGATTGGGATGGGGGAAAATCATTGGGAATGGGGGAAAACCCATTGGGAATGGGGAAAAACCCATTGGGAATGGGAAAAATGGGATTTGGGATGGGAAAATGGGATTGGGAACGGGAAAATCCCATCGGGAATGGGAAAAATGGGATTGGGATGGGGGAAAATCATTGGGAATGGGGGAAAAACCCATTGGGAATGGGAAAAATGGGATTTGGGATGGGGGAAAGTCATTGGGAATGGGAAAAAACCCATTGGGAATGGGAACTTTGGGAATGGGAACATTGGGAACGGGGAGCACTGGGAGGGACTGGGAGGAAGCCAAAGCGGCCCCATTTCCCATGGGATTTTTCCCAGAAAAAGG